CTCAATACTATCGTGCATTAACCCTTGCAGGCTCGGCTTCTCGAGCTTCGGAGGAAAACATCCCATCACCACCCACCACATACGACTGTTCGCCGAGCTCCAAGCGTTCACCCGCTGGTCCGAGAGCACCTTTTCCATCCGCCGCTGGGTATGCGACACCCCCGTTCCCATCCCGTACCCACCGGAGTCCATGTTAAGGCCTCCGCTCCAAACGGGGACGAAATCGCGGGAGTGAAGCCTAAGCCGCCTCCACTGCCGTACCGACCAGCGCCCTGCAGCAACCCGGGACTCGACTCCACGCGGTGGAACCCGTGACCGGTCGAGTAACCAGCCGCACTCGCGCCCCCATACATGGACGCCGTCGCCACCCCGGCAGCTGCACGCGCGCCCCCATACATGGGCGCTGGTGCAACTCCGGCAGCGCCACCCACGGCGGCCCCGCCGCCCCGACCACGCACGGCTAATAAATGCTCACTTCTCATCAACTCCAATAAACACCAATTTCAGACTCCTCCCCCCTTAGGTTGGATCCATCTGAAATACTCGCTTTTGTACCGCAAGCCCGAGCTTCGTGTGTGAGTTAGCATTCCGGTAGTGGTTTCTACCCCCAATTTTTGCCCGTCGCAAGCAAGCCCTGCATACGACGATAGGCCAACAACAACAACAATGCACAACAACCACTACAACCAACCATCATGCTTGGCTGCCTCGTCGCGAGGGAGCAGCAGATGCAGGCACATGCAGCAGTGTTGCCGAAGTTGGCATACATGTCCGGTGCAGCAACATACACCATCTCAGCGGACCCAGTAATTACATGAGATAAAAATTGAGCCTAGACAAGACGCAAACTACGGCTGGTCAGCTGTGGAAAACTTCTCCCCCTTTGATACAGTAGTACTGCTGCTGTATAGACTAGAGTTTTTGTCATGATCAGCACATCAGGCGACAACGGAGATTACGGAGATTCCATCGCTTCGACCTTTACTCTCTGGTGCGCCGTTCTGGCTGTGCCAAAGCGCCATGCCACCCATCAGTCGCTACGAGGTCGGAACTAGCATTCTCTTACATCGCAGGCGAGAGCGAGGAAGAGCGTCTCGAGAGGCCACCACTGCAGGTGGTGCAGCACTACGGCCTTGGCTTGTCACGTCTTGGGCAGAGGATGACCGGCATGCGCAACAGGAAAGTGTGAGAGAGGTGCGGCGGAATTAATTCAGGTTTGAATGTGTCGCTGCTGCGTCTCGTGTCTCGCTGCCCTCTCTCTGCCCGTTCGCAGTTCAACCGAACAGAGGCCTGGTTTGTGGTTGGTTCACCTTTCAACGAGCATGGATGGATATGCAATACATCTCAGGGGGAAACCTAACTTGTTTCCTGGTTGCGCCACTATTTTGCAGAGCAGAGCAGACTAAAGCGGAATTCAGAGTAGAATGTAGAATTCCGTTTTTTTGGTCGTCGACGCCATTGTGAAAAGAGGGAATCGTCCTCGACAGACGTTGGGGAGTTTCTACCTTTATAAAGGTGGTCTCCACATCGGTCCTCCTTTTTTTCGGTCATAAACAAACCCCACGAGACACAGCGACCACGTCACACAAGGACACACACGAGAATCGGCTGGCTAGAAGTTGGAACTCGCGCACAACGGATAGTGGCGCGCATCCTTGCACCACCCTTGACTTGGACTGTGTAGCGAGTCCCTCGAATCGTGTGTAAGGCGAAGAGGTACTGTGCTGAGTGTGATTACTGGTATGACGGCTGACAGCAGTCCAGGGCCTCCTCGAGTACCTTCGCCTGTCATATGTATAGCATTGCTTCATTGCCATTCACCAATAAATGACGACAGCTAACGCTATATGATCAAGTATTCGGCTTCCGATCTAGAATTTCAGGGTCGTCGCTAGCCCATTATTGCCACCGCTTTCCTAGAGTTGCTGGCCCAAAAGAGGCGTTTGTGTAACCCATGGTTTTCTCAATAGTTTCGGGTATAATACTAAAATAGTTGCGATTCGAAGAAAATTCAAGGTGCGACGGGGCTACATTGCACGGGGCGACCGTGAGCCGCCATAACCAGAAACGTCGCTCCTGTAAATTTGGGTCAACCGTAAGCCACACCCCGTGTGGATAGGCGCGGATTAATAGTTCGCAATAGTTAGCGTCACGACAACGTTTCGCTCTCACGCCTCCATCGGGCTGAATAGCCCCCCACGGCACAGGGTGGAGTTCCTCGGTCTTGTCCACGCGACGAACGGACTCGAGTACGGTGGCCCCCATGAGCATGCAAAGCCGCCCATGTCTCCATATGGTTAAGAGCGAGTCCTGAAACATGAACTCTTACAATATGGCAAGCCGAAGTAAACCTAGGGACCAAGTCCAACGATGGAACCAACGGGCTGAAGCGACGGACATGTGCCTTGATGCTTTAGAGGTAATTTCTGATGGAGACGTGCCCGTGTTTTGTCACATCCTGCCTCCTCACTTTTTTTTCATTGGTCGATTCGAACCCCCCCACCCCCCACCCTCCCCTTACCCATCTTCCCCACAGGAAAGTCATCGGAGGCATCGACGGCAGCCACATCAAGATTCCTGCCCTCACCGAGCACCAGCAGTTGGCGTACTACAACCACAAGAAGTTTTACTCCATCATCCTGCTGGCGATAGTGCACAACCGCGGCCTCTTCCGGTGGATCTGCTCCGGCTGTGCTGGATCGTGTGGGGACAGCGGTGTACTTCAGAACACGAAGTTCTACAAGGCTGCTCAGCGCGAGCAAAGCAAACCTGTTGACGAACGCAGGATCTTCGCGAACAGGGTGTGTATCCTCGGTGATTCGGCCTTCGCCGAGGGACCGTGGATGCGTACGCCGTTCACCTTGCCATCTTCTCGGGAACAGCGGTACTTCAACTTCATGCACTCATCCATGAGGATGCGAGTTGAGCACGATTTTGGCAGGTGGGAATTTTTGTTGACGCCATGATTTTGCATGGGAGTGGAGGTGGGGGGGTGACGCCAGGAAGAGGTGGGGGGGTGACGCTAGGAAGAATCTTGTGTTCGGAACAGCGTGGCATGCTAAATATCTTTTTGTTTTCGTGTAAGAATCGGGAATGTCGCTGTGAACGGCAAACGCACACAAAACAGGGAGCGATATGATTTCCCGGATTTGTCGAGCATCCACTTGGATTTGAATGGTCGGCGTGGTGTGATACGACTGACACTCACTTTAATATTTTTAGTACCCGTCGAAGGAATGTCTGTTGCAATTACAATATGTCGTTGTTTTTGTACACCGCACCCTGAACCCCCCGTGACTATCCAGGCTAAAATGGAAGCTTCTGACGCTACGGCGGGGCCTCCATTTCAAGCTCAAGGATGCGCCACTCATCATCGACGCGTGTTGTGCGCTCTATAACTTCTTCCTCGTCCACGAGGGGGCATGGACGCCTCACCAGGTGGTCGATGACGCGCAGACGAGGAACAGCACTGGCAGGTCCGCCGGTCAGGTGGCAGGGCAGACAGCGTCGGCAAGAGATGCCGAGACTGCCTACCTCGCATCTCTCTCTCTCGAGCGAGACTGGGGAAGCCCTGGTTCGTTGCAAGACAGGCAACGAGTGGCAAGGGAGAGAGAATTTCGCGAACAGGTCTCTTGAATATTGCTGTTGTAATTGGGCAGTGGTAGAGAAGATACGTCCCTAGATGGCAGCGGTTGCGTCAAAGATTATTTGTTGTTGGCCGGAGCACCGTTCGTCCGAGCAAGAAGTGACCCACATAGGCTCGTATCCTGTATGTATTTGTTGTTGCTTGCGCTAAAGCCGCTTTTTGGAATGTAGACAACCGAATGTCCGTTCCTCGTGAGCTCATAGAAAAATATCTGTGTTTTTTATTCGCAGTTATTCTTGGGAGTAGTTGAGCGACCCACAAGGCGAGTACACAGTGTCGTGGGTGCCGT